CCTTCCGAGTCCCCGGGCAGGAAGCTCAGCCCTGCACAGGGGTGGGGGGGCATCCTGGCAGGGAGGGGCCCGCACTGCGGCTCCTGGCCGTTGGCCTCGCTCTTTGGTCGCGTTTTGGCCTCAGTGTGCCATGAAGGAGGGTGTTGGGCAGCCTGGGGCCCCTCCAGAAAGGTGGAGACCTGGGTGCTTTTGCGTAGGTGTGTGTACACGTGTGCGTGTGAACACAGCTGGGCGTGTGTGTGCAGGTCCCTCTGGGGTCAGCCAAGTGTGCACGCGCCTGCCTGTGTGTACCCAGGAGGGGTTGCAGTAAGGGCATCAGTGTGTCTGCAGTTGTGTGTGTGCTGGAGTGTGTGTGAGTATACAGGTCTGCGTGTGTGTGTGTGTGTACAGGTCTGGACTCCTGGGCATGTGAGAGCTGAGCTCTGTGTGTGTGCACACCTGGTTACCGTACTCATCACGGTGTGTCTGCAGGCTGGTAAGTCTGTGTCTGTTCTCTAGTGTGTCCCAGCCCGTATGCCTGGGACCGGGTTGAGTTGGCCATTGGTGGCAACCACATTCCTTAGCTCCAAAGGCACTACCCCTCCTCAGAGGCTGCTTAGCCCGGCTGGGGTTACTTGCCAAAGCCACCTGCCTCCTGGCTAAGGAGAACAGAGCCTTTTCTCTGTGGGTTCTGACCCCTGAGGTATGTCTGTCTCCCACAGGCCAGGGGCTTCCTCCACACCCTGGTGGGGGTCCAGTGTCCACACACCCCTTGTCCTCCAGGTCCCCTGTCCCTCACAGCACTGGCGAATCCATAACCTGCCTACATGGCTGGTCCTGGAACCTCAAGATTAGCAGTTGGTTCAGCTGGGCCTGGAGTTGGTCTCCTGTTCACCTGGTGCCTTGTCTGTCCCTCCGTCGGCCAGCCCCATGCTTTCCACCCAGAGTGTCTGCTGTGTAGGGTTGTTTGCTGAAGAAGGTGGGGATCAGGCCAGTGGCCTGGACCTGAGGGATTGAGGGTAGGGCTGGCAGGGCTGGGGCCTGGCTGCTGTTTGATAGTCGTTGCCGCCCTTGCCCAGGGAACACTTGCTTATCCAAGGCCCTGGGGTGCTGGTCTCTGAGGACTGGACACACAGACCATGGTGGACTCTCCCCACTGCCCCAGGAGGGCAAGAGGCACAGTTACTGCCCTATTTGACAGTTGAGGAAACTGATGCCAGAGATTTAGGGTGATTTGTTTGGGACACATAGTCAAGAAGCAGCTGGGCACTCGGTTCCTGTTGTCTCACTCTGGGTCATGGGGAGAGAGGAGGGCCAGGGGACAGATGGGCCTGGCTCAGTCCCTCCTATCTGTTCACCACCCCTGCTGAGCCCGGCGGCTGGTGGGGAGCCCTGTCCACCCTCCCCCAGGCCGCAGGTGGGAGTAGGGCTGCCCGTCTTCCCGCCCACTTCCCAATGGGCACTGCTGGCACTGCTTTCTCTCTGCGGGTGCACGCCGGCCCCCTGCATGGTCCAGACACTTCACAGGCACCTGCACCCCCACGCGGACAGCCACCATGCCATAGCTGTTCACTGCCCCTCCCCCTTGCCGGCTGTACCTGAATGTTGCTTCCCTGGCTGTGTGTGCGTACCCGAGCCAGGAGTCCAGCCATTCCGCTCCTCACAGGTCCAGCGGGAATGGGCGCATGGTCATGGCCTGGAGGTGGACATAAGGCCTGGGGTCAGGGGTTTAGACTCCCATGGCAGAGAATGACAGGAATGGGCACGGACACACCCAAACTGGGGCCCGGGGAGACACCCCTCTCCTTCAAACCTGGACGCAGACACAGACTTTGAAACAGATGGATGCACGTGCACACACTAATGGGCAGACTGAAGACCTGAAGCTCTACTGTGCACTGTCTTTGTTCCTTCCAGATGGGACTTACCCAGCTGCCCTACTCTACAGCCCCTTCCCAGCCCTGCCTGGAGAAGACCCTGGGCTAAGGGCAAGGCTCTGGGAGGACCCTGAAGCCCTCGCAGCCTGGACCTCAGTGTCCAGAGCCCGGGTGCAGAGGGAGGGAGCCTCTGGAGTCTGGGGGTGGGGGGCGGGGCCGGCAGGCCTCTCGGTGCGGCCACCCGCCCATGCAGACCAGCTGCCCGCCTGCATGCCCGGGCCAGCCCAGAGTGGTGCCATTGCCCATGTGCTGCCCGGAATGCGGGCCACTGACCCGCTCCTGTCACCCATTCGCCCCAGGTGGTGCAGAGGATCAAGGCTGTGGAGGGGCAGACCCGGTTGCTGGTGGTGGACCAGGAGACAGATGAGGAGCTCCGCCGGCGGCAGCTGACCTGCACTGAGGAGATGGCCCAGCGAGGGCTCCCGCCCGCCCACGACCCCTGGGAGCCAAAGCCAGACTGGGCACACATGGGTGGCTGCAGCTCCGACGCTGGCAAGAAGGTATGGCGGGCTCGGCCCGCAGGGACCACCCTCGCCTCTCCCAGAGGCTCTCTTGGCTTTCGACGACCATCTTTGCCTCTGATCATCTCCAGAAGTCTTGGTCTCTTCTGCCTTTTGGGGCCCCTTTTCTGCCCCAGGGACCATCCTGTTGGCTACTAGGGGCCACTCTTTCTACCCTCAGCCTGTGTTTTAAACTGGGTAGGGTCAGGGCAGCCTAGTTTGTTCCTCTTCTCCAGGACGCTCCAGAGCCCCTTGCCCTATCGAGGGGTTACTCTGACAAACTGCCGCCTCCCCAGCCCCCAGCCTCATGGCTGAGGAGCCCTGGGAATAGACATTCTAGGTCTGCGTGTGCCCAGCTCCGTGCCTGTGTTGGGTGTCATCCGTGGCTCTGTCCTCGTCTCTCTTCAAGGAGCCTGTGTGCTGGGAAGGCCTGGGAGAGGGCTGGCCGCCTCTGCAGGTTGGGGAAGCCTAGGAGGCCACTCTGCCAGGCCTGGTGTGGGTGGGGCTGGGAGCATGGGAGTGGAGTTGGGGGGTCCAGGCAGCTCCAAGGTGAGCCCACTCCTCCCCTAGATATAAGGGAGGGCCCGGGGACCCTGTCTGCTGTTCCTTATGGGCTCCTGCTGGGTAGCACTTCCTCCTTCCCCTGCCCCTGCTCCCAGCCAGGAGACCCAGAAAAGTACAGGGGCCGCCTGCTCCACCTCCTGCTAGGTGGCCGCTGGGAGGGGCCACCTGGCAGGCCTTGAGGGCTAGGAGGAACAGCCTGAAACTGTCTGTCCTGTCTTCCTGGAGGCCCTGATGGCATTGTCTCCATGCTCTCCTACCTTTTTTTTCATTTTCAAAGACATCCCTGGTTGGGCAAGGTGACTCACACCTGTAATCCCAGCACTTTGGGAGGTTGAGGCAGGCGGATCACCTGAGGTCAGGAGTTTCGAGACCAGCTTGACTAATGTGGTGAAACCTGTCTCTACTTAAACTACAAAAATCAGCTGGGCTTGGTGGCGGGCAACTGTAGTCCCAGCTACTCGGGAGGCTGAGGCAGGAGAATGGCTTGAGCTCGGCAGGCAGCAGTTTCAGTGAGCCGAGATCCTGCCACTGCACTCCAGCCTGGGCGACAGAGCGAGACTGTCTCAAAAAAAAAAAAGAAAGAAGAAAAGAAAAGAAATAAATCCCTTCAGGGGATTTGAGTCCAGGGGTTGGCCAGACCCCACTGTGAGAACCGTGCCTGAGGCAGAGGTGTGGGATCTGGAGTTTCTGAGGGTGCAGGGGATCTATACATTCACTTTCTCCCTTTCCCAAGTATCACTCCTGGAGCCGGCTGCGCCTGGGAGCTGAGCCCGGCGGGGGGATGTCTTGGCAGGGAGACGGCATTCCCTGTGGGGAGGGGGCACAGGCCTGGCCATGGGACCTGTGGGACCCGTTTTGTTCCTGGGGCTTGAGGGCAGGCCATGGCCGTGCTCAGGGCCAAGGTGCCCAGCCCACGGCTGGTTGGGGGGCTGGCCTTGCAGGGGAGTGGGCTGGTCCCAGGCCCCTATCTCCAGGTTGAGGGTTGGGGCCTCCCTCTTTCCCAGGCACCCTCCCTCCCCCAGGAGGAAGCTCCCCCTCTACCTCAGGCGTTTGTCCATTGATTTGGACACAAATGCATGGTTCACCTTCCTGTGGAAAAATCTGGCCCTCGGACTTTATCTGGAGGGTGCGGTGGCCGAGGCACCTTGCCTTGGGTGGGACCTTCCCCCGTCTGCTATTTCAGGCTCTGGGGGCTGCAGGAAGCCCTAGGAGGAGCTTCCTCTGGGTATATTTTTAGAGGAACAAAGGGTGGCCTGAGTGGCAGGTCCCTTTGTGCATGAGTCTGGCTGGGGACAGGGGCTCCAGGAGGTCAGGGGACACCCAAGGAGCAGGGTCTCCCCTTCTCTCTTCTGGCATCGAGACCTGAGGTTTCTTTTTCTTTTCTTTTTTCTTTTTTTTTTTTTTTTGAGATGGAGTCTCGCTCTGTAGCCCAGACTGGGGTGCAGTGGCCAGATCTCAGCTCACTGTAAGCTCCACCTCCTGGGTCCACACCATTCTCCTGCCTCAGCCTCCCGAGTAGCTGGGACTACAGGTGCCCGCCACCATGCCCGGCTAATTTTTTGTATTTTTAGTAGAGACGGGGTTTCACCGTGTTAGCCAGGATGGTCTCGATCTCCTGACCTCGTGATCCACCCGTCTCGGCCTCCCAAAGTGCTGGGATTACAGGCTTGAGCCACCGCGCCCGGCCCTTTTTCTTTTTTTTTCTTGGCTCACTACAACCTCTGCCGTCTGGGTTCAAGCGATTCTCCTGCCTCACCCTGCCCAGTGCTGGGATTACAGGCACACGCCACCACACCCTGCTAATTTTTGTGTTTTTAGTAGAGATGGGGTTTCACCATGTTGCTCAGGCTGGTCTCGAACTCCTGATTTCAGGTGATCTGCCCTCCTCCGCCTCCTAAAGTTCTGGGATTACAGGCGTGAGCCACTGTACCTGGCCCCTGAGAGCTAAGGTTTAATTTCTTTCTTTCTTTCTTTTCTTTTTTTTTTTGAGACGGAGTTTCACTCTGTCGCCCAGGCTGGAGTGCTGTGGTGTGGTCTTGGCTCACTGCAATCTCCTTCTCCTAGATTCAAGCAATTCTTGTGCCTCAGCCTCCCGAGTAGCTGGGATTACAGGCGTATACCACCATACCTGGCTAATTTTTGTGTTTTTAGTAAAGACAGGGTTTTGCCATGTTGGCCAGGCTGGTCTGGAACTCTTGGGCTCAAGTAATCTGCCTGCCTCAGCCTCCCAAAGTGCTGGGGTGACAAGCGTGAGCCACCGTGCCTGGCTCGAGCCCTGAGGTTTGTTCACCTGAGCTCCCAGCGTGGACAGGAAGAATTGGGGCTCACCGGACCTCCGCAGAGCAGGTTCAGATCCTGCCCTGCTCAGCCTGGGTTCAGGGTGTGCCTGAGATGCTCAGGGAGCCTAGGAGGGCAAAGCTTACCTTGCAGGGATGGCTCCAGTGGGGGCGGTGGTGGCAGAGAGGCAGAGCCCTGGGAGGGTATGTAGCTTGGCTTTGGTGCAGGATGGAGAGGGCTCAACTCTGGGTGCCCCCTGGGAGCTAAGGGTGGTTCTGTGTCCTCTGTCCTGGCTGGGGATAGGGGAGGTGGGCAGGGGAGGACACTGATGTGGTTGGCCACTCCTTTTGGGGGTCATGAAGGCCTAGTTAGTGATGACTCAGCCCTGGGCCACAGCAGGCTGGGGGTGGCCACAGCTGCGGTGCAGCTGATCCTAGTAGTGATGACAGGGGACGGCCCCCAAACAGAGACGGGTGGCCAGCGGTGCCAGGCCCTAGAGGTGGTGGCAGACCCTGAGCCCTCTGCCCCCTGCCCCTAGCCCAGTCTCCACCTCCGTCTGGAGGGCCTTGGGGGCTAACAGCAGGTGAGGGGTGACAGATCTGCGGGAGGCGGCTGTGTGGTTAGGGCGCGGTGCCTGTGGGGGCTTCCGGGCTCCTATGGCTCTTGTTCCTCTGGAACCTCAGCAGGACTGTCCTGTGTTCTGGGGCCGGGACTCCTCCCTGTCCCCCCAGCCCTGGGTCCTGGGGCAGGGCAGGGCCTTCCAGCAGCTTCCTTCCTTCCTTTCTTGGGACGGAAACCTAGCTGGGTGGGGGGCGCCGGGCTGGAGCCTTCGCAGGGGAGTGGGCTCAATCATCACCCTGCTCCCCAGAGTGACTCAGCCCCCGCGTCTCCACCCATCCCCGGGGAGCCGGGGCCGCAGAGGGAGGTAGATAAGTGGGGTGACAGCTTGGGTCAGCCAGAGAGTTCAGGCCACCCCGGCCGGACGCCTGCCACTCACTGCCGCTGTACCGCTGCCATGGCGCGCTCCGGGAGTGCCACGCCACCTGCCCAGGCTCCAGGAGCCCCTCCACGGAGCCCACCCCAGGGGCTGGTACAGGTCAGGTGGGGTGGGAGGAAGGGAGGGCTAGGAGGAACCAGCAGCCGCTCAGCCTCCCGGGGTGGGAGGAAGGGACTCCGGGAACTTGATGTAAGCAGGCTGGTCCCTGAGCAACAATGAAGGCCTTTCTCTGCCAGGGCTGGTGCGTCACCATCTGGGGGGGCGCCCAGTGTACCCCCATGCTAGCCTCTTTGTCCGGACACAGGCATGGCTGGGGGACCAGGGATGGTCCAGCTCTGTGCTGGCCACTGGCGGGGAGGGAGCCTGGAGCCCGTGGGAGCCAGAGGGCCTGGCAGAAGGCGGCAGGAAGTGTGTGCTGAGCCAGGGCAGGGAGGAGGAATGTGAGCTATGAACCCCGCCCGAGCTCCTCAGCTCTCTGGGCCCCCATGCTCCGCCCCATGTGCTGCCAGCAGCCCACCGTGGCCCCTCCATTGCAGCCCTTCCACCACCTGAGGGTTTAGTGCTGTGCCTGGCGCCTCCGTGACCCTGCTGACAATGAGGGGTTTGATGATAGGCAGAACTTCTTGCCGTGTAGAGTGAAAGACGGCTGCTTCTGGACAGAGGCAGAGGGGTGGCCAGAATGACCCTGAGAACACTGAGGGGGCCTTGGCCTGGCCTCAGGGCCCCAGACACCCACCAGATCCTGCTTCCTGTCTGGTGCCCTGAGAAACCCTGCCCTGTAGGCCGCTGTGCAGGCGTGGGAAGGCCTGCCGGGCCAGTACTGTGGGGCTGGCCGCATGTGTGGGTGGCTATGCTTGTTTGCAGGTGTGTTTGGACGTCTTGTGTCTGTGACCGTGTGACGTGTCTTTACCGCCTGGGCCCATGTCATGCTCCCACCTCCCCCCCGAACTGGGCTCCTGTCCCCACGCCTTCCCTCAGTCCCAGGCCAGCCTGGGGGCTGTGCTCCACCTCCCCCCCGAAATGGGCCCCTGTCCCCACGCCTTCCCTCAGTCCCAGGCCAGCCTGGGGGCTGTGCTCCACCTCCCCTCCTGAATGGGCCCCTGTCCCCACACCTTCCCTCCCTCCCAGGCCAGCCTCAGCACTGCTCTCACTGCATCCCTGAGGGGCAGCTCGGTGGGCAGGTGTCAGGGTCAGCCTCAAAGCCCCATGCCTGTGCCACCAGGTGTGTCTGGGAGAGGGGTGGGTCTATGTGGTGGGGCCCTGGAGATTTTGGGGGTCTTGTACCCTCCAATTCAGCCCATGTGGCCCAGCTGAGCCCCTGCAGGGCCAAGGAGCCACAGCCTTGTCCCTGGAGTTTCTGGTGTGATAGGGCCTGGGTTGTGGCCATGCAGAGAGGGCTCAGAGGGTGGGCAGGAGGCTCCTGACGAGGCATCTGGCGGGCTGGACAGGAGAAGGGTATTCCAGACCAAGGGCAGGTCCCGAGCCCAGGGGACAGGGCACTAGCCCTGTGGAGAAGGACCCCCTTGCTCCCTTGGCAGGGCGGCCCCCGCCACTGACATGGCTGTTTCTGGTCCATTGGGGTTTGGCGTGAGCTTGAAGGTGGGTGGCTGGAGGGGTCGGGGGTGTCTAAGGCCTGGAGACCTGCCCTCCTGAGGTCTGAGTGCCCCTCTTGCCATGCCGCCCCAGCCCTGGCCTGGCCTGTGGTCCCTCAGGGACACACAGGGAGGTAGGAGGTGAGGGAGGGGCCCTGGCAGCCCCCCACCCCGCCTACACGCTCTCCCCTGCACACGCCCTCAAGCCTGGCACTCCCTGGAAACCTGAGCTGCCCCCTTGCCTGTTGTGGCCACCGCCATGTTTAACTGAGCACGGGCAGTCACTGGCCACCGCCGCGGCACCCTGGCCTGGCCCCTGGCTGGGGGGTGGTCACTGGGCCTGGCCCTGCCTGCATGGTCCCCTGGCCCAGACCCCCACTGCAGGATGCCAGAGGTAACATGGGGCAGGGCCTGGGATGGTAGCGGGGGGGTCCTTCCGGGCCCCAGGAGGCCCTCTGTGCCCTGTCCACTCTAAGCTCCTGCCCCAGCCTCTGCGTGCTGGGCCCGCGGGGGTGGTGCGGCTCGTTTTCCCGGAATGTGAAAGCAAACAGAGCCGCCACCGCAGCCAGCCTCACGGAGGCCTCTGGAGAGAAAACAAAACTGCTGGCCTAGGAGCGCCTGCCCCACGCTCTGGAGAAGAGCCCGGGGCAGGGGGACGCACGGGCAGGGCCCTCAGGGACAACTGCCCCAGGAGGCCGACAGTGACAGTTCTTCCCACCTGGTGCTCTCTCCCACCCCGCCTGTGTGCCGCGCTGGCCTCCAGCCCAGGGAATTATCCCAGCAACCCAGGAAGGCGGCTGGGCCCATCCGGGAGGCTTCTGGGTTTGAAAACTGGCTTTGCCCAAGTTCCCACAACTAAAGCTCTGTCACAGGCAGCCTGGGTGCCCGGAGTGTTTGCCACTGAGACCTGGGCCTGCCCGTGGGTGGCATGGTACCGAGTCTGGGCAGCAGTGGCACCACCAGGGAGTGGCCTCTGGGGGTGGGAGGCTGGAGCCAGGGACTGACCCTGTCCCTTGGGCCTGCAGGATGTCAGTGGGCCCCTGAGGGAGCTGCGGCCTCGGCTCTGCCACCTGCGAAAGGGACCTCAGGGCTATGGGTTCAACCTGCACAGTGACAAGTCCCGGCCCGGCCAGTACATCCGCTCGGTGGACCTGGGCTCACCTGCCGCCCGCTCTGGCCTCCGCGCCCAGGACCGGCTTATTGAGGTACCGGCCCACCAGGGCTGCAGGGTGCTGGGGGCCCCATGCCTGTCCACACTGGGGCCCTGGGTCCTTGCAGGGAGGAGGGAGACACTGGGAACCTGAGCTGGTGCGCCTCCTGCTGCCTCGGCGGGCGGTGGCTGTGATGAATATTTGATGCCACACCTGGCCACGCGGCATTGGGGGCTGTCTGGGCCCACGGCGGGGCTGATGCGTGCTGGTGGCGGCAGGTGAACGGGCAGAATGTGGAGGGGCTGCGCCACGCTGAGGTGGTGGCCAGCATCAAGGCACGGGAGGATGAGGCCCGGCTGCTGGTGGTGGACCCCGAGACAGATGAGCACTTCAAGCGGCTTCGGGTCACACCCACCGAGGAGCATGTGGAAGGTGGGCCACGGCCCGGGGCACAGGGTGGGTGCGGTGTGGTGGCCGAGTAGACACTGACACGCTGTCCCTACAGGTCCTCTGCCATCACCCGTGACCAACGGAACCAGCCCTGTCCAGGTAAGAGGGTGGGGTGCCCATGAGACACAAAGTGCTTCTGGGGGTACCCAGGCCCGACAGGCCCCCTTCTCCCTGGAGATCCCTTTCCTCGGGGTGTGGTAGTGACACCCGATTCTGGCCATCACCTCCCTTTAATGCCCCTGTGGTTTTCGTCCTGGATCAGTGCCACACACAAGCCACATGGGGTGCCTGGGGTTGGGGCTGCTGCCTTCCGTCCCCTCCTGAGCACCACCTGGTAGGGAGTTGCCTTCCAGTCTCTGCCTCCTCAGGGAGCTGGTGGTAGCCTCACCCCAGGCGTTGCTCACGCCGGCCATTCCTGCACCCAAACCCCCTCTGCACCATGAGCCGGCCAGGCCACCTGCCTGTCACTGCCGGGCGCCCGGTGCCTGCCTCACCGCATCTAGAGTCCACCAGATGCCCGGGGCCCCCTGCCGAGTGGAGGAGCACACACTGGTGGGGCGTGTGCATCTGTGCACGTGTGTGCTTGTGCGGGTGTTGTGTCTGTCTGTGAAGCCGCAACCTGCCCTTGGTTTCCCAGCTCAATGGTGGCTCTGCGTGCTCGTCCCGAAGTGACCTTCCTGGTTCTGACAAGGACACTGAGGTATGGATGTCCTCCTCCACTCCTGAGCTCACACATGGGGCTGCCAGAGGCCTTGGGGTGGGCGTCTGTGGAGATGTCAGCCCTGGCAGTGGGGCCTCTGCTCAGGAAGCCCTCATGAGCCCCTACCCCAGCCCCAGCCCCAGCAGGCAACCTGTGTTGGTTGTTCCCTGGGAGGGGCCCCCGTCTGGGGTGAGGGCCTAGGGCTCACTCCAGACACCCCACCCACCGTGCTCACCCCAGGATGGCGGTGCCTGGAAGCGAGACCCCTTCCAGGAGAGCGGCCTCCACCTGAGCCCCACAGCGGCCGAGGCCAAGGAGAAGGCTCGAGCCACGCGAGTCAACAAGCGCGCGCCGCAGATGGACTGGAACAGGAAGCGCGAAATCTTCAGCAACTTCTGAGCCCCTTCCTGCCTGTCTCGGGGCCCTGGGACCCCTCCTGCACGGACCTTGGGCCTCAGCCTGCCCCGAGCTCCCCAAGCCTCAGTGGACTGGAGGGTGGTCCTGCCACTGCCCAGAAATCAGCCCCAGCCCCGTGAGCCCCCGTCCTGCCCCTGCCTGCCAGGTACTGGGGGCCTGTGGCAGCAGGATGTGGGGAGAGAGACCCAGAGATGTGAGAGAGAGGCAGAGACAGAGACACAGAGCGAGAGAGAGCGAGCGAGAGAGAGAGCGAGCGAGAGAGAGACAGAGCGGCGGCAGCACGGGGTGAGGGCCTTTGCTGCTCTGCCGGGGCCTGCTGACTGAAAGGAATTTGTGTTTTTGCTTTTTTCCAAAAAGATCTCCAGCTCCACACATGTTTCCACTTAATACCAGAGCCCCCCCCCCCCCGACTTCCCCTCCCCCTTGGGACACGCTCTAAATAATTGCAATAAAACAAACCTTTCTCTGCAAACCATTTCCTCCCCGCCCCCTCCCCTCAGCAGCAGCCGTCCCGAGTGGGAGTCCCTGGGACTTCCCAGTGGCCGAGCTGGGGCGCCCAGCCTGTTTGTGGGGACCTCGGGTAAGGCCAGGGAGGCCTGATGTGGCCGTAGGAGCTGCCCCTCCCCAACCCGCCCTGGTGTGGGGGGTCCCTAGGCCAGGCCCTGCTCCCCACCCAGCTACCCTGTGCGCCTGTGCCCTGCTGGGGGTCTGAAGTGTAGGGCCTGGGTTCTCCGAGGGGCCCGAGGATGGAGGCCCCATGTCCCCGAGGAGGGTGGCCTCTGGACAGGCCCCTCATTCCGCACGGCAGCTCCCAGGCCTGGGGAACATAGGTGTGTGAGAGCAGCACCCAGGGACTCCTGGCCTCTGGCTCAGCCCTGCCTGGCAGGCTCCCCCGTGGACACCCTGTTGACTTTGCTCTTCCCTCCCGGGCCCCGCACCCCTGAGCCGACCACTGATCGACCGGCACCGCTGTTGCCTCGTTAAGCCATAGCGCATGCGCGCGCTCAGAATAAACAGGCCCTGCCTGGGACCCACACGCCTCTGTCTTTTCTGAGCCTCCTCCCCACGGGGTGAGGGGAATAGAGGGATGAGGCTGTTCCAGGGAGCCCCCTGCCTGAGTCTCAGCAGCTGGAAACTGGGTCTCGTTCCTGAGCCCCTGCCCTGCATCCATCTGCTCCCAGCCCTGCTCCCTCTCCCCCACCGGACCCCATGGGGCCCCCTGCTGTGTGGCACATCCTGGGCCCAGGACCATCTCTCTATTCGGCAGACTCAGCCTCCCACCTTCATCTTCCCTGTGAAGCCATCTGGCTTCACACAACACCCCCACGGGCCACCCTTTGCCCAATTCAACTTGCAACCTCTAGCAATCACAGGTCAAGCCTTGTAGCCTATGGCACCCTGCCTGGGTCCCCAATGTCCCTTTCAAGGGCGGGTAGCTCTGTAACGGGGGGTGGGACTGGGCAGAGGCTGCGCTTTGAGGTCACTGAAGTTCAGGAGCTGGTGGTGTCCAGGCTGGGAAGCTGGGAGCCGGTGATGGCTAGCATGAGGGGCCAGGGTCCTCAGCCAGCTGCCTCGGACTGCTTCCCCAGTGGACTTCCAGCAGCCGGCTGCAGCTGGCTCTCCCCACTTCCTCCCTCCCAGGTTCATGCACACCCCCTTCCTTTCAAGGGCGGGTAGCTCTGTAACGGGGGGTGGGACTGGGCAGAGGCTGCGCTTTGAGGTCACTGAAGTTCAGGAGCTGGTGGTGTCCAGGCTGGGAAGCTGGGAGCCGGCGATGGCTAGCATGAGGGGCCAGGGTCCTCAGCCAGCTGCCTCGGACTGCTTCCCCAGTGGACTTCCAGCAGCTGGCTGCAGCTGGCTCTCCCCACTTCCTCCCTCCCAGGTTCATGCACACCCCCTTCTCCTCCCTGAGTACTGAGCAAAGACTGTCACGTCCCCAGCCGGCCTCCCAGGCAGCCCTGCTCCAGACACGCGAGCATGGGTGTGCACGCACACACACTTGTATGTGATTCCCAGGCGCCCTGCCCCCTCAGGGACAGACATCAGCCAGATCCCATCTGCAAACAGCCCAAAGCTTTATTCGACAGGCGTGGCTTCCTGAAGTGTAAAGCCACTTCACAGACTGTGGCCACAGCAGCACCGAGGCGGGAGCTGCTCGGCCATCAGAGACCCTGGGCAGCTGGGCACAGGGCTTGGTTGAGGCAGGCCTGGCAGCGAGGGCGCACAGGCAGACAGGTCTGCTGGCCAAAGCCCACCAGGAGTCCATTGATCTCGTGCCACAGCTCCCTGTGGGGGTGGGGGCTGGGTCAGTGCAGACAGAGGGAGGGCAGGGTGAGCTTTTCTCTGCCAGGAAGCCCCCCACATACTCATACCTGGGCAGCCACTCCTCCAGGGCGGCGCGGGTCTCCTCTGGGGACTTGGTTGCCTTCTTGGTCCACCTCAGCCGGTTGGCGATTCTGTGCACGTGCGTGTCCACTGCTGCGGAGAGGCAAGTGGGGTGAATGGGCACACTCCACCCGCCCAGCCCATGCACTCCCTGCCCAGAGGCGAGTCTGCCACCACCGCCGTGGCCCTCCAGTTGGAGATTAGAACCACAAAGCCCTGGCTGCAAGCCTACATCTGACCATCTTGGCTGCCCCTGAGGTGCTGGGGCAGGGGCTGAGCCCTCTGTTGGGGTGCAGGCCTCCCTCCCATCACCTGAGCCAGCCTGGCCGGGGAGGGAGGGCTGTGCTCTGGGCTGACCCATTCCCACCAACCCTGGTGCCAGATGGGTGTGGGGGTGGTAGGGTCTCTGCTCCGTGCAGGGCTTGGGGGTGGATGACTCGGTTCTGCTTCGAGCTCTATTTCCCACAATAACAGCGACAGCTCACTTGGACAAACACTTGCTGGGGGCCAGACCCTACCGGAGAGACTGGCCAGTTCAGTAAGTCCTCACAAGGTCCTACAGATGCCCGAGGACCTTGTGAGGCCTGGCAGGATCCCGACTCCGAAGCACCTCTTAGCCCTCAGCCTCCCAGGGAACGAGGCCCCGGCCCAGGAGGGCTCATCCAGGCTTCCCTGTCTGTCTCCTGTGGCCTGAGGCCCCTCCTGGCATAAGCACTGGCTCTGGGCACCAGGCTGGGTGGCAACAACTCTGCCCAGCAGGCCGGCATGAGGCCACTGCCTGCAGACCCAGCACCTGCCACTGCAGCGGTCAGGAACAGAGTGGGACCCTGGCCCGGCCGGCCGCAGCTGCTGTCCACCTGGGATCTGGCTCCTGCTCCCCTCAGCTGGTCACCCCAGGTGCCTGCTCATCGGGCTCCCTTCTCCCACCCGGTGGCCCCTGCCAGCTAAGGCCCTAGCCCCAGCCCTGCCTGCTCCTTCAGTGTTTGCCAAAGAGAAAGCCAAGTCCTGCACCAGCTCCTTTGCTGCCGCCTGGAAAAAGGTGTCTGAGGGTGTAGGGAGACCACAAGGCCTGAGAGGCCACATCCTTGGGGCTCTGAGCCTCAGTTTCCTCCTCTGTAACACGGAAGTGGCCATGCTTCTTAGGATACCCAAAGCTGTGTCAGGACACGTCACAATGTATGGGCCTCCTGCCCACCTGGACAGTGAATGAGGAGGACTGCTTCACCCACTTTGTGGCCAGAGCTTAGAGAAGCCAGGTGCCTGGCCCAGAGTCACTCAGCTGGGAGGTGCAGAGCTGAGACTGCAGCCAGCAATCTATGGCTGTGGCTTTTTTTTTTTTTTTCAGAGGGAGTCTTGCTCTGTCGCCCAGGCTGGATAAAGACAGTGGCGCGATCTTGGCTCACTGCAACTTTTGTCTCTGGGTTTCAAGCAGTTCTCCTGCCTCAGCCTCCCGAGGAGCTGGAATTACAGGCTCTTGCCACCACGCCCGGCTGATCTTTTTTTTTTTCTTTTTTGAGACCGAGTCTCGCTCTGTCGCCCAGGCTGGAGTGCAGTGGCGTCATCTTGGTTCACTGCAAGCTCCGCCTCCTGGGTTCACGCCATTCTCCTGCCTCAGCCTCCCAAGTAGCTGGGACTACAGGTGCCCACCACCGAGCCCGGCTAATTTATTGTATTTTTAGTAAAGACGGGGTTTCACCATGGTCTCAATCTCCTGACCTCATGATCTGCCCGCCTCAGCCTTCCAAAGTGCTGGGATTACACACGTGAGCCACGGTGCCTGGCCACGCCCGGCTAATTTTTGTATTTTTGGTACAGACGAGGTTTCACCATGTTGGCCAGGCTGATCTCAAACTCTTGACCTCTGGTGATCCACCCACCTCAGCCTTCCAAAGTGCTGGGATTACAGGCTTGAGCCCTCGTACCCAGCCAGCTCTGACATTTTAATTGACAGTGTTTCTCTTTCTGGGAACCCCCAGGAGGCAGCCCTGGGGTCTCCTTGCAGGTGGTCAGGCCCACAGACACCTGGAGAGGGAGGTATTCCTGCATGCCTGTCTCTTGTGCCTGCTACTCCCAAAGCCGGTTCCCTGCCTGGCTGCGGGCAGGGACCTTCCCCCACAGCCCTGCCCAACCACGATGCAGCACCCCAGGGACACGGGCAGCTGAGGACAGCCGCCCAGATAAGCTCAAGTGTCCGTTGAGAGGCTGGCAGGTGGTGGCGCTGGGAGCTTCGGTGGGGAGGAGGCCCTGCCCTGGCGCACCTGGCCTGGCTCTGGCTCTCTGGGGCTGCTGCAGCCCTTCAGCCTCACCGGGTGGCCCCCTGCTCAGAACCGTGGCCCTCAGCCCCTGATGGCCCTCTTGCCCACCAGAAAGTGCTGGAAGGCCCCCCCTAGCACAGGCCCCTGCAAGAGTCCCACAGGGGCCTGGGATGGGGGCACACAGAGGGCAGGGCCAAGCCCTGGTTTCTGGACTGGCTGGGCCCGGCTGCGTGTGGCCTTAGGAGCCCCAAATTCTCTGGGCAAAGCCGAGGATGAGGCAACCCCACCCCAAACCCAAGGGTCTGTCTTTACCCAACTGCCAAGAAGCCTCTGGTGCCAGGAAGAAACACCAGGACCTGGGAAAAGGATTTAGGGGGGCCCTCCCCGCAGCGCCTCCCTCCCCACCCTTCCCCTTTCTCCCCCCAGCACCTCCCTCCCCACCCCGCCTGCTGAGGGGACACTCTTCCCCCTCCCTCCTCAGCCCTCACCTCCCCGCTCTGCCCTCATCTCATTCCAGAACTTACTGCTCCTGGCCCTGTCTCTCGAATCACGGTTTTGCAGATGCTGTTCCTTCTGCTGGGAACACACTTCCTCCTCTCGGCCTGGCTCACCCCACCTTGCCCTGCAGCTCTCAACTGAAGGATGACCTTGGGGGCCTTCCCAGGGGTCCTGGGCCCAGGCCAGGCCCCAGCAGCGCCCTGCACAACCATCAGTGTTTCCACCCCACGAGTGGGGAATTCCCTGCTCCACACCTCTCCTGAATACAGCACAGATGGAGTCTAGCTCCGGGGCCTCTCTCAGAGTCCCGCACAGAGCAGGCGCCCAGCCCATGCGAGCTCCTGCCCCAGCGCCTGTCTCTGAGTGGGGCTGGCCTGGCTCAGCCCTGGGAGCACCTTTCTGACCCTATGGGCTGGGTGGAGTCACAGGTCAAAAGGATGTGGGGAATCCCAGAGCAGCCAGTGGGCCGGAGCCAGTCCTGTCCTCCTGGGGGTGTGCACCACTCACCAATGCCTGACACAGTGCCCCAGGCCACAGCCATAGCCAGGTGTGCCATCTTGGGCCCAACGCCCGGCAGTGCCACCAGCTCAGCCACGGAGGCTGGGATGTCCCCGCCATAGCGCTGCTGCAGGATGGTGCTGGTCTGCTTGATGTATTTCACCTTGCTCTGAAAGACAGGGGTGGGTTCAGCCTTGGAGGCAGGGGCACAGCCCGACGGGGGAGGACGCAGCCCCCGGGAGACCCACAGGTGGCCAGAGCTAACCGCACCTGCTGAGGACATGTGCGAGCTCAGCCCCCGCCCTCCAGGAGGCAGGAACAAGTGGAGGCAGCAGGGAGGCCCAAGGCAGGCCTCACCCCCTCCTCCCACCCGTGTGGGCCAATGACACGTGTG